GAAATTGAATTACTTTCAGTGGCTACACACTAGAACAATTTGAAACTTCTCACCAGTTAGAACTGGGAGGCGTGGCTGCAACACTATCCATAAGATGAAAAACAAACCTTAATTCAACTGTAGTCAGTAGTTTAAGCCATAAAATAGTTTATTCACTAACCCATGGTTAAACAAAGCATGATTTACACCAGTGTTTTTCAAACTTGGCAACTTTAAGATGTGTGGACTTCAACTCCCAGAATTCCCTAGCCAGTATGCTGAGAATTCCCCAGCTGGCATGCCAGCTGGGGAATTCTGGGAGTTGAAATCCACACCTCTTAAGACCCCAAGTCTGAAAAACACTGACTTACACCAATACACTATATGACTTCAGTCTACCAAAGCTTACACCACCTGGGTGATTCTGTAGGACAATGCGTAAGCCTATCTTAAGGAAGTAAGTACTCTTAAGGAAGTCTGACGGGTCGTATTCTCTTTCTTACCTTGGCAGGACAAGGACTGAGGAAATCAACCGCAGCTAATACAGATGCAGGGACTTCTCCCACCTCCCTCCAGGACCCAAGGAAGAAATCGGTGGGCGGGGATAACTGCCTACGTTGGGCTCTAGCTCGGGCGCCCAGCAATCCTCCCTCCCTGCGCCACCCGCTCGGCGCCTCTGCCTCCCTTGTGACAAACTCACGCGTAGCCTCTCGGATCTGCCCCTTGCGCCTGCCGAATCGCACCTCGGGGCGAAGCATCGCCCCCGTGGCAACTGGAAAGGGGAGGCCGCGCCGAGACGCCCCGACCAAAGCAGTGCGAGGCGGCAGCGTTTTCGGCGGTTGCCTGGCAACCGGGGAACCGCTGGGTGGGGAAGTTACGCGACGCTCTGCGGCCGGTAGGGCGCGAGACTTGTTTGAGTGCTCACGTGATCTGGCGTGGCAAAGACGTTGCAGGTCAGTTAGGCCGGGCGTCCGGCTAGACGCCGGTAGGCCGCCTTCTGGCTTTCTCTTTTCCGGGCTTGGGGCGGCTGGATTCTCTTTTCCACCTGCGCAGGCTGGCAGCTTCTGCCCTCACTCGTCCGTCCCCAGGCTTTGGCCGAAGCTAGGAGGGTGCATTCGGAAGACGGGCTGCCTGCGAGGGATAGGTCTGGTACGGCGCCTCCGGGGCCAGTGGCCCAGGCAAGACCTGGGGCCGGCTTTGGCCTCCTGCCGGAGCGGTTTAATTGCCTCGCAATGAGTGACTGCTCCGCACGCGAGGAGCCTTCGCGCATCGCCCGCACCTCATTTCCCCACGGCGTCCCTGGCAGCGTTGCTTCCCTAAGACTCCCTGCGAAGGAGAGATCTGACGGGTTGATGGCTCGCCTTTATAGCGGTTGGTGGCTTTTGTAAAGATACCGATCGTACAAAAAGAAGCTTAAACTGCTTATAGACTGCTGCGGACAGTTGAAAAGCTTAGGGAAGTGCGGCTGCCTTCATTCGTTAACGACTTAAAATGTGGCCTATATAGATTCTCGCCTGGCAGACCCGTTTATCTGCTAATGCTTGGCAAAGCTTTGTGCTGTTTCTGACTTTTCGTTCCATTCTTGTCCCTGCAGAACAAGATGAATTGCTTCTCTGATAGTTCATACTTGCCAGGCTGTCCGCTGCTTGCAAATAGAATGAGTGCTTTTGTTTGCCTTAAGTCTGTTCCTGCTGACCTTATAACGAAACGTTTATTTTTAAATGTAAGTGCATTTGTTCCAGTGACTATAAATTACTTAGGAGAGTATGGATGTTCATTCTGTGCTTTGCCTGTTTCTAAACAGTACCAAAAGCAAGTCAGAGTCAGTGTGGACTATGCCACCTTAATTGCCCACATATTTCTTTTCTGGCTTGATCTTTTATGCTACAGTATTTTCAAAGTGGTTCCATGACAAATGTGAAATTCACACTTAGAGTCCAGTTATGCTTGGTAAATTTCAAAGAAAATTGAAGCTTTTCAGCCAAATCTCATCTTTCAGCAAATATTTTTTAAATTAAAACCCATACATTGGTGCTGTAAAGTCAGGTATATGTTAGTGTAATGATGGATGTCTTCTAGCTCTAACGGTTAACATCCATTGTTACTCCCAACATATTTGGATGAAACCTGGTTGGAGGAAAGATATTCGGCTCTTTCGTTTAGAATCCCATGCTACAAATGGATTCAGAGAGTTGATATTTCATAAATATCTATAAAATCTAAGTATGATCATAGAATCTGGCCTTTTTTGATGATAGAGTCCTGTTTGTTGCATACACAAATAATTATTACATCATGTTATTCTAAACTCTGAATAATGTGGGCTTTGTGTTTTGTTCATCTGTGAACCTCACAGGTTAAGATTAGCTAATTTATCTTTAAACCTAATCTCATCTCACACAAGGTTGTTGGTAAAATGTGCAGGGAAAACTTATATGTCTTCCTGAGTTCATTCAAGCCAGATCAAAATAAGAACGTACATTTTCTTCTGTCTGTCTGTGTACAGTTAAGTGGCTTGCAGTCATGTTCGTGCAGAATTGAGATAAATTCACTCTTTATTTGACTTACTCCAATGAATTCAAGTCTCAGACATCAACCAGTGAGTATCACTAAGGTATTGTGGTCAATCTTTTAAAAAAATTATATATCTGTATCTATTTCTGTCTCTGTATCAGTTCTATACTTTTTGAAAATTTAATGAAGCGTCCTGTCTTTGAGGTCACGTTATCGCCATTTGTGACCTTCCCAGCCAGCTTCTGCCAAGCAAAATCAATGGAGAAACCACGATTCACTTAACAACATGTGATTCACTTAATGACCATGTGATTCACTTAATGACCATGGTGATTTGCTTAATGACCATCACAAAAAAGGCTGTAAAATAGGGTCCGGTCATGTGATGTTTTGCTTAATGATTGCATCGCTTAGCAACCTAAATTCCAGCCCCAATTGTGGTCGTTAAGTGAGGACTACCTGTATGGAGCTTGGACTCCTTCCTCTTTGAAAGATATTTGTATTTTCAGAAGCATTCAGATGCATTTTCAGAAGCATCATGAATTATTTATGTATAAGACTCAGTATTATGTTTCTTGCTGAAAATTGTCTTTCCAAGGCCATCAGATGAACATATAATTATAGAAATGATTTATTTCATTTATAATTAAACAATTATTTTTCCTCATTTCCAGGGTTATACTTACCCAACAACAATGAGATTTCTATTGGTTTTTGATTTTGACCATACAATTGTAGATGAGAACAGTGATACCTGGATTGTTAAATGTGCACCTGGTTCAAAACTTCCTGATGAAATAAAAAACTCCTATCAAAAAGGACACTGGACGGAATATATGGACAGAGTCTTTAGATACCTAGGAGATAATGGAGTAAGAGAAGAAGAGATGAAAAGGACTATGACAACAATCCCATTTACTTCAGGAATGATAGATCTCTTAGATTTTATTGGCAAACACAAAGGCTTTTTTGATTGCCTAATTATATCAGATTCCAATACTGTCTTTATTGACTGGATTTTAAAAGCAGCAAATGTTTTTCAACTATTTGATGAAGTGTTTACAAATCCTGCAAGTTTTGATAGCTTTGGCTATCTTTCTGTACAGAATTGTCATATCCATGATTGTACAAAGTGCCCCATAAATTTGTGTAAGAGGAAAGTCTTAGAAGAATTTTTAGAAAGCAACTTAACATCAAGAGTTAAATACTCACAAATTGTATATATAGGTGATGGTGGGAATGATCTGTGTCCTGTAATGTGTTTAAAAAAGAATGATGTTGTTATGCCACGTCATGGGTATATTTTGGAGAAAATGATTTCTCAATTATCTCAGGATCTCGTTCCATTGGAAGCATCAGTTCTTGTTTGGTCATCCGGTGTTGAGATACTTGCCTATTTAGAATTGCTTATAAAGGGATAGTTCCCATTTAGCCTGTCAATAGCAAATTGGTGCTACTGTTTTGACCTTCTCATAGTAGAACCCTTTCTTCATGAATATTAGAAAAATAACATTTTGTTTACATAATTTTAATTGATTGTCTTCCCTTGTACAACATCAATATATGGTCAGATAGAATGAATAATTTAATGAAGCAGATGCCAAAATTATTAAATGTAATAGTTATGTAACATCTATGTCATTTCAGATGAACTATCATTAAGGTCTGTTCTATGATATATGATAGTAGGTTCTCTTTAATTATATATTGGACATTTATTCGGCCTGGGGCATGATAGCATACACTCAAATTGCCTCTTATCAGTGGAGAGGGAAAAGAAGCAAATCCCATTGTGTGAGTGGAAATCCTAATTGCCATCAGTTGCTGCTTTTCAGAAAAATAGCAGAACGTTATTTCTTAGAATTGAAAATTGCTTTTATAGTCCTGTAAAATTATAGAGAGCCAAATTATTTTCTGTAACCAATTACAACAGTTGGTTGGAGTTGAGCAGCATCAAAATTGAATGAATGCATAAATAAAAATAAGCTCATGTCCATTTTTTTCCTATTTAACAAATATATTCCACATCAGTCGGTCTGGTCAAAGGTAATGCACCATTAAAAATAAATGTGGGCAGTACTGAATGCTGTTTAATACCATCTGATTTAACTGTCCATATAAGTGTTTGTTTTATCTGCAAATAAACCATAAAGAATGTAAATGAGAAGATGCAATGAGAGAGATGTATTTCTTTTCATAAGTAAAACACTTTATATGTATGCAGCCCAATTCTGTGCATGTTCACTAAGAAGTAATTCCTAATCTAGGCCAGTGGGACTTATTCCTAAGTAAGCTACATAGGATTGAAGCCTTAAAAATAAAATTAATTATGTAAAATGAAGAGTATAATGTGTCAGTGCCACAAATGTAACGTTATTGCTTCACAGTGAAATTTGTTGCTAAGGCACCACATTTCTTAATCTTTGCTAATACCTGTGAAGTATAATCCACCTTTTTATGTAATTTTGGTAGTAATATGAAGGTGTTCTAGGAGGAGGACTGTATTAGTATATGGTGGCAAAAAATCTGGTAGTACCTTTTCCAACTAGCAAATGTTATTAAAAGGTGTAAGCTTTCATGAGCTGCAGCTCAATTCTCAAAAGTTTATGCCTTTTAATAAAATTGGTCAGTTGGAAAAAATGCTGCCAGACTCCTCTTAATATGAAGGTTGTATCTGAAAGTTTTGAAAAAGGGCATAAATTGATAAGCAGTTTTGTGTTGATCTTTTTAACCTATTGTGAAAAGTAAATGTGTGAAAAATAGTTTAATATGTGGATTTGTATATTTGGATAATGTATTTTTTCAGTTTAAAAGTGTAGTGAAAGGAGAAGATAACAAAAATTAGCTCAGTATTAGCTGGCTTCCAGATCTTACTAAATTTATGTTGGTCTTCTTAATGAATAGGTTATTTAACTACCTACTAAAATTCAGATATTGAGTACATTGATACAGTGAACAGTGGATTTGCTTAGAAAAATATTTCACTTGTTATTATTTGAAATACTATGTGCCTACTAGAACTTTTGGAATATGTGTACTATTTAAAATAACAATGATTAATTTATCCCATTTGTAGTTTGTATTTAAACTTATGCTTATATAAATAATGATTAAATATTTTATTAATGAAACTACCTGTTAAATATTTTGCCTTAATTGTAGAATATAGCTATTATATAAATCAACAGAAGCACCATACTGGATCTATCAGATGTTTAGCTGATTAGTATAAAAAGAACATTGGTTTTCTATTTCTTAGTCTGTTGGGGATGTACTATATATTAAAGCATTTTCTAACGAATTCTTCTCCCCTAGTTTTAATGAGGTTTACATTGCATTTCTTCCCAATACAGGTGAGGACCCTATTACAAGTTCCACTCCACTTATTTGATAAGCATGAATGCTGATTTGAACAGTTACCTTGGCCCATGGATTACAGTTTATACTTCCAACCATTGTGCATCCAGCTCAGGCTGATTTATAACTGGGCTATCAGGATTCTGATATTTATTGTTTAAATAATTCATATGAAGGCCTATTTCACAGCAGTGACTCTGGCTGGTGGAAGATTAAAAATCAACAGTTACAAAGAATACCCCATGACTCGAGGTAAATAATACATTCCAATCATAAAACCACATCATCAACAGTGCTTGCCTAACCTCCTGGCCCAACAACCAGGGGAAACAGGCAGGTCTTGAAAGCCTTACGAAGGGCTAACAGAGTCAGAGTCATCTAGGTCTCTAGGAGGATGCTGTTCCAGAAGGTGGGCACTGCCACAGAAAAGGCGCTACTCCTGTTTCCAACAAGATGACATTGTTTAATAGAGGGGACCTGGAGCATGCCCTCTGTTAGATCTGGTGGGGTCAGCAGAAACAATGGAAGAAATTGATATAATAGTTTTACTCAGAACAGACAGAATCCAACAGCCATTTTTTTCTCTGGATACTTCATATGATTATTTCTGAAACAAGTTTTAAGTTGCTCCGGGATTTCCCCAAATTTAATGCTTATATTCTTTCCAGTATTCCCAGTATTTGGAATTTATCAAGAACTATGGATTCTGTGCAAGTCAGTGGCTGAAAGAATTATTATACAACACTGAAGAGACAAATCTATGCCAGATTTGCTGAGTGGGTTTCTATTACTAAATATATATTGTTCTAGTACTATATACATTTTTCAATTATTTTCTTTTCCAAAGAGAATGGCAAGTAAAAGGGCTTTTGAGCAATATAGTTGATTTTGTAAACTACTTTTTTCTACATTACATCATCGGGATTATATATATAACAAGTTGTGAAAATGTAATTATTTATTTAATCAATTTATATAGCTGCCCATCTCACCACAGGCAACTCTGGGCAGCATACAACAAG